AGAACGAGAGGTATGTGTGTAGTAGTGTATTTGGAACGATCACAGAAAGTGTCACGCTATGTTAGTATCACAACGGAAAAAGTGATCAAGGTCATTTACTAAAACAACAGGTACAATGATTTAATAAAAAATGTACACACAGTGAAAGATTGACAAAATGAATACAAATAATAATAAAAATTATTTACAAAATAAGTTTGACAGACCTATCTCCACAGACCCACAGTTCATCCAAAATTACAACTAGCACAAAGTGCATCTGGTAGGAAGTTAAATATTGTTAGCGAAGTTCAAATGGTTGTGGATGGGATGGAAGAAGCTTTCGCTTAACGGGCTTCCGTGTCTAGTAGCAGTGAATTGCCAATAACTTCAGGCAGGAACCAAGGTATATTAACGATAAAAGACAAAAAAGGTGGCAAATCATGGTAAGGTACTATCCTTAGTCCTTATGAATATGTCAACATCCCTCCTAAAGACTCCTGGGAAGTCGCTTATACTAACCCAGCCAGCAACGAATTCCAAAATTTGACCACTCTTAATGTGATGTGAACTAGCTTCCAAATTTCCGGTAAAGTGCCTTGGCTAAGCGAGTGTGAGGACATCACGCTAAGCGTTGCCGCCAGGAATGAAGCTGCTTCCGTCAGTATGGCGGAATGAATCATATCTAAACCAGTAGAAGTGTTTTTTATTAGGTGCTGCAGTTTCCGGTACACTAAGCCAGTTCTCAGATTCGCTTACAAAAGTCCTGTGCAGTTGCAGACGAAGCTTTCACCAATAAAGTTAGTGTAGGTCTGTTGAAATGTCCGAGAGTACTGTTCAGCCAGGAGATTCGCAGCGTAACCGTCATTATTGGTTGAGCCATTAGGATAGAGCAGTTGGGAAACTCCAGTTTTGGGTTGTCGAAGAGAAGCTTTATAATGGAGTAAGCTTTTCGGATTGGAGACAAATTTATCTATAAGTTTTATCTGGTACTGAATCCTGTCTTCTCATATTGCCTTTGGGCATAACTTCCATATATGTTCCTTATACATGTACGCTGCGTTGTTATCAGTTCTTTCGTGTTCTGCCCAGCAGTGCTTTTCAGATTAGCAAAAGTAGATTGCTGTTCCTGATGACTGTAGGTTGCTTGTAGATTTTGGGGAACAGTTGAGTGAGAGACTGCTTTGTAGCACATAAGATCTTGTGCAGTAAGATATCCCAATAAGAAACCACACCAAGTTGAGGGTGAGTTTTCCAATCCATCTTTTGTAGATTATCCTGTAAAATAGCGCATTCGACCGTTTGAAATTCCAGCGGCTGTTGTTGGTGGAATGTCTTAGCTCAAACCAAAGGCTATGATAGTGTGATCACTTCTCCTCAGGAAAGCTAGGATTTATTGTCAGTAAGAAATTTTTCGCTTGTAAACACACAGTTTAAGCGTGAAGACATCTGACTGTTTGCCGACTTCATACTTTCGAATAATTTCAGATCCTCGATGAGGTCGAAGAACCGAGCTTCGGTAGATTTTTCACCCCTGATATACGTGTGTTCCGCGAAATCGACTTTAGGAAGACTGAAGTACATGAGTGAACCCGGGACGTGTAGAGCAGGAAAATCCTTCTGACATACGATTGTCGTACTCGATGTCAGCAATCGGCTTGTCGTAGATGACTCCAACTAGACACCTCGAGGTGTTAAAAAATCTTACTCAGCGCCATGAGGATTCATCAAGATTGATAAACTCTTGGTTGTGCACCTGATGTACCTCCGTGCACGATCAAAAGTATAAGCCCCCAATTCCTGTTTTTCTGTCATCACGAAACAAATACAGCCCGGGTATTGCTAGATTCCGGCCCGTAAACTGAGAAGACATCCAAGTTTCAGGTGCTTCTATCAGTTGAGCATTGTAAGCATTACTAAGTTCACGTAGCTCATCCATTTTATTCGGTAAACTCGCGGCGCCCAAGTAGAAGAAATTTATGCCTTCGATTTGAAACGCGTGAGCTTTCAAGTCCTGTTTATCTGTATGACTCTTATGTGAATGGACAGGTAGTTCACCTACACATGGTTTTCAAAATTGGTGGTTGTTGTCCTTCCCACGTTCTTTTTATGATCAAGACAGTCCACAAGTAGAATGGCTAGCTCCAACTTGCTTTAGGTGTTGATCTTGGCGTCATGTGACCTATCGGGTTGCACATGGATTCCAGTTGGCAACGGACGTGTATTGGCACGAAATGCTTTCGGGGTTGCAGCCGCCATATAAGATGAGAAGGTTATTTTCATTAGCCGGTGTCCAGAATCTCAGTCCTTCTTGGCTGGTTACATCACTTGTCGAGTCAATATGTTTTTGAGCTTCAAGGATTGCTTGATGAATTTCCATTACCTAATATAAGAGTTGTGTCGTCAGGGTCCACGTTTTCCAGTACATCTTGGACAATAATATTTCTTCCGCTGAAAAACTCGCGATATTCCTTAGGAAATAGCGACGTACCCAACGATATCATAATTATGGGAGCAGACAAAATGAACTTACAGAAAATACTGGATCAGGTGATAGAACGCATATCAGAATATGGTTTACTTTCATGCTGCCAGATCATCGACAACGACAGAGCGAAACTACAGACAAGTTGAGAAAGAAGCTCGGTCAATTATCTTTGCAGCAAAAAAGTTCCACAAGATGATGTTTGGTCGACATCTCACCTTAAGAAACGGGTTCTTGTTCACACGTTTAACCGGCTACAACTATATGCAACGACACATCTGGGTTAAGATTTCACGATCAAGTATCAGTCGACTACAGCTTTTGGACAAGCTGGCGAGTTATCAGGATTAATAGGTTCCCAGTCATAAACGACAGAAGACATTCTTGTAGCAAACATAAAAGCTGAAAAGGAAGTTTCATGTGCATTGGATGACGCAATAGACGGACACTCGGTCATCTTCGAAGCAATGAGAAAACCTACTGAAACTGATAAGACATTAAGCAGAGTTAGGTGCTATCTTTCCACTGAATGGCCAAACAAGGAGAACTTTCTCAATATATTCGTCGACGTGACTTACTTATGGTGATCGACTCCCGATTTAAGTTTGATGATCGCTTTGTTATTCAGGGATAATTGTGTCACAAGGTTATCGAACAGTTTGACATTTGTCATTCTGGGATCAACAAAATGAAATCAATGACACAAAGCTATGCTTATTAGTCACCTATGTACGAAGACAGAAAACACATGGCGCAACTGTCTATCATGTCCTCAAGCTGCCAAGAACTCTTCGAAACGTGAACCACAAGATTAGCTCACGACTTCAGGAGCCTGATAAAGACCGTTTAGATTTCACTGGAAAAATTCAAGGTAAAATGTTTCCAATTATTGTGGATGTATTAACGAAGTGGACAGAAATATATAGTATACCCAATTGTACAGCAGCAGAAACAATCCACGAATTTTCTACTTTGTTCAGCTATTTTGGAGTCCCAGAGACTTTAGTGACTGAAAATGGTTCACAATTCCCTGCGTAATCGTTCAAGCATTTTTTGTAGCATAATCGGAGTAACACTTTTATGTTCTCCACCCTATCGTCCCCAATCGAATGGACAAGCGGAACGTTTTGTCGATACATTTAAACAAGCATTACTGAGTAGGGAAGGGCGAGTGGACAGTAAGACAGGCAACTACAAACTTTTTAACGGCCTACAGAACTACCCCGGAATCAACTGTTCCAGATGGAAAGTCGCCTGCAGAAGACATGATTGCAAGACACATCTGCACTATTTTCATCGCCACGTTGCCACCCAAAATAGTAGATTGACAGAGACCAATTCTTAACATCTGAATCATTAACGTTGGCGATAAAGTGCTCATTAAGTCATACTTCGGGAAACGCGAAAATTCAGACAAAGATTGGGAAGATATTTGTATAGAGTTTGAGGAACTTTTGGCACATGTATCAGACACGCAAACCAAATCTTTAAAGATAAAAGAGTCATGCACGGTCGAGATGTTCAGCTGAATCTCCCATCCGAGTTAATCTCAGATACATCAACGAAGCAGACACCCAAGAATACCAAAAATAAGACTCGGAACAGAATTACAGAGAACAAAATGGAGCGCAGTCGTAAAGAAGTCATCAGGCTTTAAGTTGATCCAAGGAAGAAACCTTATTACCGGGGAATGTTGGGACGGCTTGTGAGAACTACGACGGAGCTTTAAGATGCCCTAGAACAGCCAAAGAGTTCCATCAAATCAGAACGCAATGGCGCTGTCCAGAACATTAACGTGGCATGCTACTTCTCGTCAGTAGCACATCAAGCCTCTTGGTGGATTGGTTGAATCATATTGTTGATTTAACAAACGCCAATATCTATAAATATCCGTGATTTTCTGCACATTTTGATCCTTGCTCAACAACCACTTTCATCAGTCTTCCTCTGTCTTCTCATTCGCGATTTCCGAGGGTTCTAGCGTTCCAGTGCACAAGTTCTACACAGTATGTAAGCAAACTAAACTCTAGGTATAGCAAATTATAAAATCCATTTGTATAATTTATAGGGTGATATTAACTGTTTGGTGGAAACAAATTATTAAAAATGAGTGTAATCTCAAATTGATAAGCCTAATCCGAAAACTATACAAAGTACCAAAAATTTATTGCACCAAACTGAATAGTCCATGAAATGTTAATTTTTAAATGAATGATATAGGTTTTATCATTTGCGACTTAGGAGGGTTTTGTCGTTCGAGTGCTCAAGTTATACGTGGTATATTGAGAATCTAAGCCCCAGATATAACAGAGATCATGAGCCAATTGAAGTAAAGCAACTATGGAAAACCTGGAAGCACTGAAGTATAATTTCGCGGACTAGTCGGAGTTAGACATTGGTTTCAATAACCCACAATCTGAATTATTTAAATTACGATAACATACACAAGAAACTCCTTCTCATATACATAAGTTCATTGAATAGAATTACAATTTTACAACTTCAGTAAATAATATTGTAAATAAAGAAAAGCTCAGAAAAGTGGATAATCTTTATTTGTCAATCACTGAAAAGTAAACAATACGATTGTTTCTAATATAATTAACTGTATTAAAACAAAAGATCTATGTGGAAATCAGTTAATTATCAAATAAATATGAATGGATTAATGTTTCACTATGACAGTAAAATCGGCTTTATTACTTTAGCTGCCATTATCGGCATTGTTAATTGTTGATCATATATAAAGCATATAAATGGATGAGTCACATGAAAGTCTACTTCTGGTATAATGGCTGAAATAGGCATAAATATGGGTGAAGTTACAGTGGTTGCTTCAATTCCACTTTCATTTAATTTCAATACATTTGTTTGAATAAATTTATTCACATATAGATTGTGATTAGGTGTGATTCCTGAAAGGGGAAAAAGAAAACAAAGAACATGAAACAATGTTACTTACTTAACTTGTTCCACGACTTATTCGTTTTACTACAAACATGTGCTCCTCAAATCCACTCATTCATTTGAGCTCAATAAACTGTAGTAACCGCTTCGTATTTCCTTATGAAATCTACAAACCTCTTGGAGTTATTTAATAACGGTTATAAGGGCATGTGATACACGAAACATAGCAGTTATCTTCAAGAAACTCCACTATTCATTTACTTCGAACGTTTGAATAAAACCACATAAAATATCTTGACATAGTAAACATACTAATTATCTGAGGTACGAATATCCACTTGATTTCACAATAGAATAATCACAATTGATAAAAATCAATGTATAATATTTTATGTGAATTTAACAACTCAGATATTCTCACCTGACAGATCAGCTTTCACTGGATCAAACAAATCGACAATACCGATAGACTTCAATGTCGGCACAAGGTCAAGTGTATTTTTCAATGTAAATTTCGGTAATCGTAATGACACTGTCGTCTCTTTCAAATTCTTTACGTATTCACTTAAAACTTTATTGCCATTCAAAAGTTCCATTGAACCATTTAACGACCACTTTTCAAGAGGTAACACGATAACAAATGAGAAACGTGTGTTCTGAAGATGTTTCAAGAAAGAAAGAACGAAATCAAATAAATAACAGTAAGCCGAATGTTATAAGCTTTAAAGAACCAAACACTTGCAAACGATGAGACCATATGGATTTTGGAACAACTGATTACTTTGTGTAAAACAATATCGAATATGTCAAGTTCCCACCGGACTACCCTCAGTCAAATGGTCAGATGAAACGGTTTTCTATTCATCAAGAAGAGCTATCCAGTTTAAGGAACTGTACAAAACTTCTGGTCAAGTTATCGCTTAACGTGCAATGCAGCAACAGTGAGTGGAGCAGCCGCAGTAGCATATGTTTTTCAGTGAAAAATTTGGACTGTTTTAGGCGACCTGATTTGAATATAAAACGCAGTGTGATTAAAGTCATGTTTTTAGAGAGTTAATAAAATCACCATCTACACGAATTTTCTTATCCAAACGTCTATCATGGGAATGAAAATGCTTTACGATTCCATATATCACAGTGGTGCTGAGGTTATTCGAGATTAGGATAAATCGATTTAAAAATATTTACTATGAAGAAAACGAGGCTATTAGTCTTGTTTCCCAAGTTGTATGTCAACTACTTCAATAGCCCAGAATCACATAAAGGAATATATTCCAAATAAAATTATCTACTTAGCACAGTGATTAACTTGAAACATTCAAGTGGTCGAAATACAAAAATGCTAGGAAAGCTGTTAAGTAACATATTCGAATATCTGTGGGATAGTGATTGCTTAAACATTACAAGTGAGTGATAACAAACAGAAAACTCAGATATCAGTTTCATTCTTCTCTGAGGATTCAAGTACAATACTCTATAATACAATTAATTTGTCCGATGATAATCTGTAGACGTGGAGTTGGAGATGAGCATTTTCTTGTCAGTTGGATATCTTTTGATCTCGTACAAAGAAGGCTAACAAAGAAAACTTATTTAAAACTTGTGAAATAAATTAGAATCATTCTTGTACATAAAGTGTTGGTATCATCAACAATCACTATAAAAACTAATGTATCAATATATCACACATAACTCATCAACACCTAAATTTTTATCCATTTTCATTTTCACAGATAGTATTGAAGTGTTCGTTCGAGAAGATATTGTGTCGAAAGAAGTCTGATCAATTCAGTACCAATTATTAACACCTGAATATTCTAATTCCTCAAAATTGATTGTGTTTTGTTCTATTCAAGCATCTGATGTTTATCATGATGAAGTACTAGTTAGAAAACGTAACATTTAATAATGTGAACTGGGTTCATATCAATTTCAATATCTCCCAACATCATGTAATTCGTGTGATTATTCATGTGATTATCAAAGTTGTCAGAATTAGAATTATAAAAATACATTCATATAATTTATAGGGTGATATTAACTGTTTGGTGGAAACAGTTTATTCAAAATGAGTGTAATCTCAAATCGATAAGACTAATCCGAAAACTATACAAATTAACAAAAATTTATTGCATCAAATTGAATAGTCCATGAACTGTTAATTTTCAAGTGAATGATATAGGTCATTTCTTACACAAAAATAAATCTTCATAATCTATACACTTAAGACTGAACGACTGTTCAGTACTTCCAGCTTTTCCATGATCGTCTAGATTCCATCGACACATCAACTCACCCATCAATATATGGAGAATAAACAGAATGACAAACTTAACTTAAAACATAAAACGAGTTAGAAAGAAACACACTTTTAATCACTAACATTTAATGATTTACTGACGATCTCAAATCCTTCATCTTTGAATTTTCCATACATCATCACTGCATCTTGAGTCATCATATGAACTGTTATTTGATGATTCGGCGAAATATCAAAATTCTCTATTCTAGTGTAATGAGGCTCAAATGGACTCTCCCAAAAATCTAAAATTAACGATAACTGTGTTATTTTGATGAATATACAGTACAAAAATATTATCTTTTCATTTCACAGCATTTTATAAATAGTAAGCATCCCGAAACAAATGGCACCGTAATTTGATATGGGGTATAATGGAACCTAAAAAATGCTTCGCAATAAGACATAAGAAAAAACATGTTCAAACAGCATTAGAAATAATCGAAACACTTTCTGACTGTAGTTACCTACATACGTATTTACTTAATTACGCCTGTTACTCTCAATGGAGGATAGGCCGCTGACCAGCATTCTCCAACCCACTCTATTCTGGACCATCCTTTCTTGTTCTACCCATCCTTCCAGATATAACACTGCCCAAATGTTAATCATTCTTTTCATTTCGGTCTCCATTTCTCGATGTGATGTGTTCTATGGTCGTACCCTCCTCATTTGGCCTTGAGGGTTTCAAGTGAGAACTTGACTTGTGACAGAGTTGAGTGCTTTCCTCAATGTGTGTCCTATCCACTTCGAGCTTCTTTCTGATTTATTCTTCCGCTGGGATCTAGTGTTTTCTCTCCCACAGTAGGTTGCTGCTTATAGTGTCCGGCCAACGGATCCAAAGTATTTTGCAGAGACAACTGTTAATAAACACCTGTATCTTCTGGATGATGGCTTTCGTGGTTTTCCAGGTTTCGGCCCCATACAGTAGAAGTGTCTTGACATTTGTATTGAAAATTCTGACCTCGGTGTTGGTTGACAGTTGTTTGGATTTCCAGATGTTCTTCAGTTTTAAATATGCAACTCTTCCTTTGCCGATGGCAATTATCAGGAGAAGGTGGAAATTAATTAGAAAATAATGACTGTAAAATTTTTGTAAACTATTTTGAAACTAAACAATAGTAGTGTACTGGACAACACAATTGGGCACAATCGAAGGTATGTGAATAAAATATGAAAACTATACAGTAAATGCTTCATTTCCAGAATGTCAGTTTTCATTAGATAGCCTTCACCTTAGTAATTCTGTAGTAACCATGGTAGTCCAGAAGTACATTTAGTGCCTGTTGACATCCGTCAACATGTCCGAATCCTCGATGACTCAACTTCAAGACGTACTACCATCAACCTTCACTCAACTTTTATAGTTCCGCCTATTTCACATGTCTCAAACATCACAAATCTTAAATCACCAACGTCCTACCTGCCTTATAAACTTAATCGCCTCATAAACAAAACACAAAATACTTAACCTGAACAATTCAGGGTATTATTGAGATTATAATTATTCAATTCATGTCATTCTAAGCAACAAATATTCATCAAGACTGTCGTATTAAACTCTATACTTTAAACAGTCGGATCATAGCTTACCTCTAAAGTAGAAAACATTTACCAGTATCATTGCAGTATCATCTGGAATATCATCTATAAAGAATTTTTCCAATAAACCATTAGACTGTTGATCAACCCAATCATTGATTTCAAGTGTAGCATTAGTTGGATTAGAAAAATCCACCTAGAGTAATGAAAATTAAAAATTTGTGAGCGCTAATTAATTCTAATGAACAAATACTAGCAGAATTAACGACTCTATTACCATTATGATTACCGATAGTAAGCTTTGCAGATGATGATAGTGAGTAGTAGTAGTAGTAGTATATAATCCATCTTTGTGAATAACATCTGCAGCACATGCTTCAAATAATTAGTGAGTCATTATAATAGTAGGAAACTTTAAAACAAAATCCATTCAATACACGAATAGATCTGTGAATAAATCAATCCGAGGTAAATTTGTGCGACATTCCAACCACTAGGATTCCGATTCAATTCTATGTAATTCGTTTTACGTAGTTAAACGGTATTACTTACTGTTATAAATGAAGTTTAGTATAGACGCGAGTACATGAATCTGTAGTTGGTTAGTACATTAAAAAGAACCAAATTTGTCCCGACTAAGCCATTTTAAAGTTTATTTCATTAAAGATGTTTAAATTCCCTTGGTTTTCGAAACGAAATTATCACACTGTTTCTGATCAGCGTTTGATTTTAGAAAAAAAAATCATACCTTGTATATTTCATAACTTTAATGTGAAATAAATGTACTTGACCCAAATAAATACCAATTGATTTGTATACTGTTATGTTTTACTAACCAAGCAATCCCTAATGTGACATCATAAAGCATTATTATATATTTTATCCTATGTTTATAAACATACTGTGTTTCTCAAGTTTCTTATTACTTACTAACGCCTATTGGGACCACCGAGTAAGTAATGCAGTTGTTAGGAAACGGGTACTAGGTAAAGATGGCAAATCAATCGATGAAGTAGTGAAACTTCATCAGTTGAGATGGATGGGACATGTGTTGCGCATGCCCGACCACCAACTGCCCCGACGTGCGATGTTTTATGGTGTAGGAGTAGGTTGGAAGAAAGCTAGGGGCGGCCAGACCAAAACATGGCACAAATCCATGAAGTCACTGACAAGTGGACTGAGCCATGTTGGTAGTTGTAGACTACTTGGTTGGGGACCGCTAGATGATAGCAACTGATGGTTAGGGACCTTGAATGACATGGCTGAAAATCGTTTGCAATGGCGTAGGTGCATCCACTCTCTGTGTTCTCTCAAACTCTAATCTTCTGTATTCTTCATGTCTTTTATTTTCTTTCCAAATCTATTCCACTGGACTATACTCCTTAAATAACATCATCAAACCTTAATGTTCCCTATCACTATCTCTACCACTACGGGATTTGAATCGATAACTGAATCTCTGTGGTAATGTGGTATGACAACTCGAACTGATGTACGTACGTACGTACGAAGTTCCACGTTGTTACTGACTGACTGACTGACTATTAACGCCTGTTACCTCTCATGAAGGAGTATGGGCCAATCACCAGCATTCTCCATTTAACTCTGTCATGGGCAATCATTTCCAATTCCTATTCATGTCTGCTTCCGATTCCCGAAGCAGTGTGTTCTTCGGCGTTCCATTTTTCCGTTTCCATCCACGATACCAAGTTAGTGATTGCCTCGTGATGCAGTTTGGTGATTTCCTTAATGTATATCCTATCCACTTGCAACATTTTTCCTTAATTTACTCCTCAGCTAGAAGCTGTTTTGTTCTCTCTTACATTAGGTTGTTGCTGATGATATCCGGTCAACATAAACTGAGTATCTTGTGTAGACAATTATTTATAAATACTTATACCTTTTTGGTGATAGTTGTGGTAGTTCTCGAAGTTTCAAGTTACGTCTACTCGACCTCAAACCTTATTTAGTTTACTATACAATAACTGATATTTGGTATTTAATAGGTAAACCATTTTATGATTTCATTATCATTTTCTGAAATAAAATTTTACACATAATACTTTTGCATGATAAAAATATCTTTAGCATCAGAAGGGTATTTTGTGGATATCATAGTAACTACTAATGAAATTACTATAATATCCATAAAACTCTCTCCTGATACTAATCAGCATATGCTCACTAGTGACTGGCTCCAATAGGTATTTCCTAGAGTTCTAGTGAAAAGCAGTGATCAGTGGAGTTTAACCGGGTCTATCGTGAGATAGTAACTCACTGAAGACAATGATCGATATGTTGCTCAATTTCGTGAGTAAGTTGAAGTTAGACATTAACACCGTTGAATCTCAGCAGGCTCAGTAATCTAGTGGTTAAGCGTTCAAGCGCGAGACCAATAGGTCATGGGTTGGAATTTCGCAATACAAGATCATGGATACGTACTGCTGAGAAATTACACAATAGAACGAATTTGACCGTCCAGTACTTTCACAGGTAATTCATTGATAAATAATCAAAATTTTTTTATAATTCATACTGTTCATATTGATCTGATCAAATTAACTATAATGTATGGTTACCGCTAACGACCTACTTTTTTCTTTTTTTTTCTAGAGTCTACATCGTGTAATAAAAAAAAACATGGAACTATCATATACATTATATAATATCAAGTTTATTATTGGTAGTTATTTAGTAATTCACCAATTGATTTCAATCATCAATTTGTTTACAATATGTGATCATTAAAACTAATAAATTAGATGATTTCACTTCTTTCTTTGTTTTGTTTTGTTTTTTTTTTATTTTTGTTTCACAACTTACTTATTATTTACTGTAAATGATAATCTCATGAGTTTAAAATTTTGTTTATATTTACCTATATGTATATATAAGATTATACTACTAATGAATAACAATTGACAAACACATGGTATCTGAAATATTTACTATTGAGAATATATACTACTTGAAATTATTCATCTCTATGTTACCTATATAGGATTAGAATAAACAATTAAAGATGTTTATATTTATTATTGAATCGAAATTTTGTATTTCAATATATAAGTTATCAATTTTATGAGATATTATATTCTGAATCAGTTAATGGATCTTAGATTGTAAAGGTTGAGTTTCATGATTTCCTAACTGATTTCATTTGATAATAATATCAAATACAAATGAAATAGTTGGATTTATGTTATAGTAAGTTAAAATATAGACAATTACAATATTAGTAAGGAGTTAAAATTTTGAGAACTACCACAACTATCACCAAAAAGGTATAAGTATTTATAAATAATTATTTATACAAGATACTCACGCAGATGATATAATCCTGTTTGGTGAAGACGCTGATGAAATGCAGAGTCTTTTGGTAGCACTGAGCAACAATGCTAGAATGTTTGGGATGCACTTTTCTCCCTCTAAATGCAAGTTGTTGCTTCAGGACTGGTCTGCATCAACACCTAAACTAAGGATAGGCAGTGAAGTAGTCGGGCACTTTGACAACTTCACTTATCTTGGAAGTCTGATCGGCCCTAATGTGTTGGTGTCTGACGAAATCTCAGCACGGATTCGAAAAGCTCGTATGGCCTTTGCCAACTTACGTCACCTATGGCGAAGGCGAGATATCCGTCTATCAATTAAGGGACGAGTATACTGCGCGGCAGTTCGTTCCGTTCTACTATACGGCTGCGAAACATGGCCATTAAGAGTAGAAGATACTCGTAAGTTACTAGTATTTGACCACAGGTGCCTTAGAAATATTGCTCGCATCTGCTGAGATCACCGGGTAAGTAATGGTGAGGTTAGGCGCAGGGTATTAGGGAATGATAGTAAATCAGTTGATGAGGTTATGAATCTTCATCGGCTGAGGTGGTTGGGCCACGTGTTGCGTATGCCTGAACACCGATTACCACGACGCGCAATGCTAACCGGTGTTGGGAATAGTTGGAAGAAAGTTAGAGGCGGGCGAACCAAAACGTGGCATCAATGCTTGAAGACAGTAACTTCTGGTTTAAGCCATGTTGGTAGATGCAGACTACCTGGTTGGGATCCACGTGCCTATCGTACCCAATGGTTGGAGACTCTTGATGACATGGCTCGGAATCAATCACAATGGCGTAGGTGTATACACTCTCCGTCTTCCTTTAAACTAAGAGATTAAAATCGCTTCATATCTTTCTTTCTACGAACTAATTCTTTCTTCCTGTACCATGTCCTTATATGCAATCTTTCTTTTGTATATTACCACCACTGAATTAACTACTCCTATGAATCCGGTGTTCATCTTGTTGTGCTAATGCGGTATGGCAACTTGGACCGATGCATATATGTGCCTGGTCCTACGTTGCAGCTGACTGACTGACTGATACAAGATACTCAGTTTATGTTGACTGGATACCATCAGTAACAACCTAATGTAAGAGAGAACAAAACAGCTTCTAGCTGAGGAGGAAGGCCGAAGAACACACTGCTTCGGGATTCGGAAGTAGATATATATAGGATGAATAGAAGCTGTAGTTGAATGAAAAATGCCGGTGGTCGGCCTATGCTCCTTCATGAGAACACATTACTTAGGGAATTAGAAGTAGATATGAATAAGAATTGGAAATGATTGCCCATGACAGAGTTGAATGGAGAACACTGGTGGTTAGTGTATGTTCCTCCATGAGGGATAACAGGTGTTAGTGATTAAGTAAGTAACAAAACCACATTGGCTGAGGATAACATATTCATTAGTATATTAGTAAAAAAAACATATTCGTAGTATTTCGACAAAGAAATCCCATTTCAAATCAATAATCACTTGTGTATCACCATTTGACTAAAGTGTATCATATAACTAAGTAGCGCTGGTTAACAACAACTATTTATGTGAGGAAAAAAAGACGATTAAAAAATTCAGTTAGTAGACATATTATTTTTCGAAGTTTCTTCAAATCAATATGATCAATCTAAACGGTTACATGATATCAATGATTTTCTAAATTTTAATTTTCAGTTTTGAAAATTTTTTTTGTCATTTAAGTACTTCAAGTGTTCAGCAACTAAGCAAACTAAATTTGTGATTGATTTAATTCACTACATCTCAAATCGAACAATCATCTCATTCTAATCAACTTAATACCCATTTATGATAATCCACTACTTATATTTAAATCCTTCGAAATATACCTATAAAAGACACATATGTCATCACATTGAAATAAATGATCAGTATTAAGTGATAAATCACATTTACTATTTATACTACTCCCAGTAATTTTTACTTGGACCCCAAATCCCCTGACAGTCTGCTCTCCCTCTAGAAATGCTCTCACATGGCCACGTTGTATATAGTCACTATCAAAGGAGTCCTACGCCCCAAAACTAGTCAGCATTGAGCGTTGTGGTAATCGGTGTCCAGGCATATATAACATGTGGCCCAACCATCTCGGTTGATGAAGATTCACAACATCATCAACTGATTCACCATCATTCCCTAATACCCTGCGACACAGACATAAACACAATAAAATAGAAATAGTTGTTTTAACTGTATGGGAATGAAAAGTCGGTAGAAAATAAGCATAGAATGATATCCGGATACAAGTAATGAATGAAACAATATCAATGCAACTCATCTTAAACTATATCATGTAGTGTTTGAGAAATTTCATTTATAAATCGCATAACTCTACTATGTAGTCTGAGAATGTTCGACGCTTGAACTGGGTTGGTGGACACGGAGGATCCACCAAGAAAAAATGGTAAACTCTGACACCGAACCAATGATACACATGGGCTACCGAATCCTGAAGGTACAAATGATGTATAAACCAATTGTTGATCATCGGTTACCCTGAGACTGCATCTACTGATGTTTTATTACTGCCTTGTGAACCAGACCTTTAGGTTAAAGGCTTCGGGTGTGGCCCCCTAAGAAAACCACCTGTTTCGGTTTGGATTTTAAGGTAGTATCCCAGCTCTCACATAAATCGAATGATAAAGTGTGGTGCATATATATTTTTGGTGCGTTATTATATCAATGTTTATGTATTCAAATAAATAAATAAAATACAATTTTTACTTAAGCTAATTAGTAACTCAAAAGTTTACTAATTTCTACAATGTTTGATTGATAAATTATCTAATTTATTCATGTTATCAATTTACTTTCAAGAAAGAAATTTAGCGGAAATATATACGGATTTTAAAAAATAATATATAAATTCATTTTATTCTTCAAACCTTGATGTTTTAGATCTGGTTCAATGTTTAATGGATCTAGTAGTATGAAATTTTCTTTTAATAATTTACATGGATAATAATTGAATTAAGGTTTATTATAGATTGTAACATCCATTTTGACTGTTTTGTGTGTGAAAATCCCTCCATATATACACTTGTAATCCATTCATCTTGATTCCTTCAGTTATACATTCTGTTAGTCTGTTTGATTTCATTTTAAATTACAATATATGTATTACATATTGTAGTTTATGTTTTCCTAACGTCTTCACTGAGTTCTCGTATTTCCTCCTTAACTGCATTTATGTTGTTTTAGTTGATATTTAGTTTGGGAGGCATTTCTGTTTGTGTATTTTAGCACTCTTCCACAATCAGAAACAATCCGTGTTATAACGCAATCAAATATTATCACTCGAACGAATATGTACGTGATCTATCCAGAAATGATAGAATAACATTTATTGGTTGCACTTGATTTGATTACTGATTAGACCATTATTGGTTGAATAACTGGGTGGTAATATTTGTTTAGGAAATAATGTACATTTATATTTACAATAAAATCTAGAACCGTCATTTACCCAATTACCTTGTTTTATTTTCTTTCAACTGGCTAACAGCACCTATCTAAACTACCTACACAGTCATTCTTCAATCCAAACATTAGTATGTATATCCGCGTTTAGAATACTGTGAGAAAAGCTCATTATGTGAATTTCAAGTTAGTTAACGTCAGAGAGCACACTGCAGACATTTAGTCTCAGTTCGAAACAGTGTGCATAAGTGATCTCAAATTTATTCGCACATATTGCTTGAATATGTCAAAATCATTGTGATATGATTCAACTGTTCAGCTGAAATTCAACAGCGTTATTTTCTTCCACGTGAATCCATAAACGATTTAGGGGGAAAATCTTCTTAAGTCATAACTGACCTGATTCAAGCTTCGTTCCATTCATACGTTATGATCTATTACTGGAACTTATCTAGATCCAAATTAAAGTAACTCAAAGTGAATGTATAGTTATTTACTATTAGGCTGAGAAAAAATAGCTGGTCAACTCTTTCCTTATTTCTAGTGGATTTTCTGGTTATCATTTATTTAGTTGAACATATAAATATTGGTAAAAGAGGTCACCAAACAGATATGCGCCACACAAAATAACGAGAACTTGAAGAGAAGAAAAAGAGAAGGTAAGAAGAGTAAAAAAGAACAATAACGAACAGATTAGTGTAAGGTAGTGTAATAATAATAATAATCAGGGAAACGGAAAGGTACAATTAGAAGAAATCTTTCAGTTATGGAAGAAGCAACCACTTTTTATGAACAATAAAAAAGAGGGTTACAGCAGGATCGCCACTGGCTTCTATTCTGAGCCATATCTGATAACGTCTCTAGCCAGTGTTGCATCATCTCTAGGAAACCAGCCAGGCAGTCGTGAAGGACCAACACAAGCCAGCCCTTTGCAGCTTTCTTTCATACCACGACACAATGTCATACACCGGTTTTTCCAACCAGTCCCAGAGGGGGCAAATAATGCATGACGTGGAATTCTCTAGGACGACATTCGTAGAACATGTCCAAGCCACCGAAACCGGTGGTAATATCCCCTTAATATTTTCAAATCAACTAAACCATCCATCTAAATAAAATCGACTTTTCCGAAGTATCACATCACGAATAATAAACTACTTTAAGAACATTCTATGAATGTAACGGTCCATTACTTATCCATTGATGTTTGCCAAAAAAACAACTGATTCTTCAGTACTTTAAGATTTACACAAAATATAATAACTTACCTGTTTCAATTCGCCTTCAAAATCATTTTCAATACTTTCGTTAAAACTTCTTTCAACTTCATAATTATTTTGTACAAATATACCTGTTGATATTCTAACAACCTTTTCTTCTTTCTCATTTAAAAATGTTTTCTCTGAAGTAAGCGAGTCATTAAGCTCTTTATATAATGATTTCATTTCTTCTTGAGCTTCAGAGGAATTCCATGAAGAAGACGTTGATTTCAGTCGGATTGTTTTTCCAATTTGAAAACCTGTTCTACTTTGAGCACCACCAGAACCTAACAGGATACCGAGTGTGAACAGTATACCAAGTGGACATGTCAGGAAGTTGTCCTGGCCTAAATCATTTGGATAAATAAAAGATAAACAAATAAATAAATAAACAGTAAACAATAGAAACACATACTAGATATAAAAGTCAAGGTTGAATTAAACATTATGCTATAGGTTGGGTAATATGACATTTAATCATTTCAACAGTTAGGTCTTCGTACGTTGAATCTGTTACATATAAGGTACTTTTATACGACGCTAACCAAAATTTATGATTACTTGTACTATGTATATAAGGATTTTATTACCAATTCTAGATACGTTTGAAAGATATTGCAATTTGAAATAGTTGAAGTTAATTATCAAGAAAATCTGGTTATAGATTTCATTCTCCTTTATACTTAGTGCTAATGCGCGTGTGCGATCTTGACAGAACCTATACCATCCTTCGTAATTTCACCTATATCACCCAGAGTCACTGTCAGAGAGTTTACTAGTGAACTATTGGAATCCCTACTGATCTGTTATAAAACTGCATACTAAATATTTATCTGTTTTTAACTAACCATTTTTTTCTGATTCTTTAGCCATCAGCTTCCAATGTGAGGATTAGACTGAGTAACTTAGCATTCGCAGAAATGACTGGAAATCAATAATTCTATGGTTAAAATGTTAGTTTATCAACATCAATTGATGAAAACTACAACACATTCGTAATATATATATATATATATATATATATATATATATATATATATGGCTGTAGGTGTTCTTAAAATTTAAACAGCTCATTGTTGTGTTGAGAAATACAATGACACAGACGGGAATGAGGAAAATAAATCTAGATGAAAGTAAACTGGAATAAGATGAAATTGAAAGTAATCAACCTAGAAAACTTGCCTCAAATGTGTTAATAAGATTTTCAATAATAAATAAGATATACACTAACGACACATAGGAGTTACACATATTTCACATCAGTAGAACCAACTTACCAAAATATTAAGAAATCTTATCAACATGTATTGTAAGGCAGAAAAAATAGTCTGATTTTAAGCTATCAAAATATAATGACGAAAGAGTATTGAGTATTGAGTCAATCAACGATCTAATTCTCGATCACTTTCCATCAAATAAGTTAACCAAGAATTTTATTAATCAATAGTTAAAATCATGAGTCAATTGAAGCTAAAGCATCACAGCAAACCTGGAAGCACCGGACAGCCGTTCCGTCGATTATAGCATTCTTCAGCAGTATGCATCCGCGGGATTCTAACCCAAGACCTATCAGCCTCGCTCGCGAACGCTTAACATCTAGACCAAGGAACATGCCGAGATTCAACGGTGTTAATGTCTAACTTCAACTAATCCACGAAATAGAGCGACACATCAACCAATGTCTTCAGTGAGTTACTACCTTACAACAGACCCGGTTGAACTACACTCTCAGTCAGTCAGTCAGTAACAACGTGGAACTTCGTACGTACGTACATCAGTTCGAGTTGCCATACCACATTAGCACAGAGATTCAGTTATCCATTTAAATCCCGTAGTGGAAGAGGTAGTGATAGGGAACATTAAGGTTTGATGATGTTATTTAAGGAGTATAGTCCAGTGGAATAGATTTGCAAAAATAAAAGACGAAGAATTCAGAAGATTAGAGTTTGAGAGAACACAAAGAGTGGATGCACCTACGCCATTGCAAACGATTTTGAGCCATGTCATTCAAGGTCCCTAACCATCAGTTGCTATCATCTAGCGGTCCCCAACCAAGTAGTCTACAACTACCAACATGGCTCAGTCCACTTGTCAGTGACTTCATGGATTTGTGCCATGTTTTGGTCTGGTCGCCCCTAGCTTTCTTCCAACCTACTCCTACACCATAAAACTTCACACGTCGGGGCAGTCGGTGGTCGGGCATGCGCAACACATGTCCCAGCCATCTCAACTGATGAATTTTTACTACTTCATCGATTGACTTGCCATCTTTACCTAGTACCCATTTCCTAACAAGTGCATTACTTACTCGGTGGTTCCAGGATATACGAGCAATGTTTCGAAGACACCTATGATCAAATACTAGTAACCTACGAATATCCTCTACTCTTACTGGCCATGTTTTACTGCCATAGAGTAGGACGGAACGAACTGCTGCGCAGTAAACACTACACTGGTCAATGCTTCTCACTAAAACTCCAGAAAATTACTATTATTATTGTTTGATTAATCTCTTATCAAAAACATTATTACTCAAGTTATAAATTAAACAACTAACGAGAGGTAAATACAACTTCGATCGTAAATAATTAATGAAACTTACCAAGGTCTGCAGTAACTGTCGAAAGATATGCACGGGTAAATGCTTTATGACTTGGAATATTAGCATATGGATCAGCAACTTTTGTAGAAAACCTTATACACATGTCTTAAACTACTACAGAACTAGATAATAATATTAATAACTGGTATCTGTATATATTTATATATATAATTGGCTTATCAACATCTTTCAAAGCACGTCTTGGTTTAATCCTACAAATATGTGTCCTACTAGACATCAGTAGTATGATTCAGATTGGTCAAATCGGATTAACTTGTTCAACCAAACTATTGTTCGACCAATTAAGTCTAATACTGTTATTACAACTTTATGGATCAATAGTTGCATGAATAGACCATTTATATGCTTTGAACATATGACATATAAATAAATATTTAATTAAATGAGAAATAAAGTAATAATCTGAAAATTTATAACGTCTAAGCGTTTGGAAAGTGGGACTGATTTCCATATTGGTTTAGGAATAAATAACTAATCAACACTTCCTGGTAAATGATAAATTAAAAAATACAAATAAAATATAACTTCACTAAAACTATAACTAACATAACATATATCGATGTTACTTAAAAATAAGAAAATTTTCATAGTTTACTTCATGGACTTGTATTCATTGGAAAACTATTCAAAAAACCAGGGTAAAATCAACAGATCTTTCGTCCCACAATGCTACACCTCAGCGGCGAACATCCGATATGCTCACACAGTATTTAGAACTATTTGACGTTTGACACTTACACCATAGGATTCCGATTCATTGATCTAGCGGTTATTCACTGGTGTCGGGATTGGATATCTTTGTTTTGATGTCAGGTAGGGTCGTGGTTGCCTTACATTGAGGAGTCCACTACCATTAAGAAACAGCTGTCTAGTATATAACGCTTTTCAATGATTTTCTAACTAAGATCAATCTGTGATAAAAACCATAAAGATATTAACATTCAATACAAACCCCCTGTACTAATAATCTAATGAATTTGTCATAAACATATAATTCATATATAATGCTCAAATATAATACTCAATTTACTGGACATAGACACAAATACTGGGATATTCAGTAAAGTATTCTTTCACGTATTGCCTGTAGTGGCTTTCCTTCGATAATCGATCACCTCGATAACCGTTATAGTATAAAACTCAACGGTATTTAAAATCAGAAGGCAATGAGAAGCGGCAAATTTATAGTTGAATTGCAAAAGGGTGAATAAAGATCGGAGAAAGCATGTCAACCAACTTGACTGAACCAAGCGTCACTTAATATTTATAGTCTGAAGAAAACATCTGACAGACATTTAATGAATAGGGTAATTAATTAACACAAACACACATACACTCACAAATAAAAACAGTCAGGGTTAATAAGTGAATAGGTGACAAGGTCAAAATATGCATTGAAAAGAATGAATAAATTGGTCTGTCCAGAAGCTACAACAGCCCATGTGACCTTGACAAAGTACCAGGCACTGCATAATTTGGTAACAACGTCTTCAGTTTGGTGTTATTATTATCATCATTTCACTCATTATTAGCATCATTCATTTAAATCAAACTGAAACCATTATAATATTAGATGTGTACTTTCCATGTTGTATAACGTTAATCCTGGAGCATAAATTTTGCCAGCACAAGATGGGCAGACATTTCGAAATCTCATTATAGATTATTAGTGATATTACAGTCACCTTTAATGACTTCTACAAACGTCACACTACATTGTACATCATCTGGAAGCAAATATGTGGGACATTAAATATAAATTCAATGGTCTTAAACTGTCATATTCATTGAGACACTTCAAGTATCTTAGTTCTATCCATTGTTTCGTGATTGGTGTTATTTACGATCGACGGAACTAAAACTAGGATAAAACAGCTATCCAATCCTCACCGTTAATTTATTACGAACCTATCACTCGGTCCTCTCCCATTTATGTCGCAGTTATGCTCGTATCACGATTTCTCAATCATGTCGATGGGTGGTCAAGAATGTACTATCTGTTGTTGTATGGTTAGCATGTGTTGTATATAATGTTGAATTTTAATGAAATCACGAATTGATAGAACTCACGTAACCATTGAAAATCTAGAAGCAATGGACAGCCGTTTCGTTGTATATGAATTCAATAATCAATTGCATAGTTTGACAGATATTTGGCGCCGAGTATAGAGAAGTCATTATATATGTAAATTATATTTGAAACAATCTCAGCGATTGAAATTTAAATAATTCCCTGAAGAAGTCCAGACAAGTTAGCTGGACGAAACGTTGTAATTATTTAAATTTCAATCGCTGAGATTGTTTCAAATATAATTTACATATATAATGGAATCAATTACATAATTATAAGTTTCAACTTGATGAGTTGAGTTTTTTCCAAGCCATCAGGCGAGTAAGCATGGGGGAACGGCATCCTCAACAAACAATCGTTAGTTATTATTCTAGACCGTCATCTCTATCTCGATAAAGATGCACCTGAATAAAATTAGAAAGTTCATAAGTACTATGATAGTTGAGTAACAATTTTTCAAATCTCAATTTGAACTCTTCCTTGTTTTACTCGAAGTCATCCACGTGTGTACTCAATTTCTGTGAATTAGAATTTTATAAAATAACTTACTCTATGTATAATTCCATCGAAATATTATGAAAATAGTTGTTTAAAATCCCCATTAATCTGCAAATCATCACTCGCATATATTCCATTAGCCAATATCATGACTTAACTCACTTCATTGTCTATAGATGTCATTTCTGCAGATAATGAATCTAAGATTGATCTACATAACCACACTACAGCTAATGAGAGACTTTTCCAGTCGATATTATTATGATCGGATTTTCCAAGAACGGTGTTACCAATCTGCACTGATGTATTCTTTCTAGGTTCATCTGAATCTAACAGAGAACACAGCATGGAAAATTCCCTTCAGAAATAACAAATAACCAACATTTAACTCAGATCGTGTCCCAATTATTTTACCTCATGAGTTAATTAATTTAGCCACTATAAATAAATAACATATTTGTAATATCCCAATGAGTGGAAAAATTAGATTTTCTGACGTTTCATCACTCAGTGTAGCCCACTTCCTCAGAAAATAAACAACCGAATCAAAATTAATCCGATTTTGAACAGTACAACGGAACAACCTTGATAATGATACCAATCAACTCACTGTATTTTTCTCCATACATAGCAGGTGAACGATTATTTTCGTCTACAAATTAACCTTATCCCACTTAGGTGAATACTACTTATACTGACAGACAGAAGTAGTACACAGCACCAGTCGTATGTGGAATGTCTATCAATGGAAGATTGAACTGAATAAAACGGGGAAAGAAACAGCGAAAATTCGTAACAATAATAAAATCCTAAGAATCATAAACAATGCAAAGCGCAACTGAAAGAAGATGTGCAAATAATGTGATTTCAATGCTCTCTGTGATTTCTCATCATGTATTCAATTGGTTTTTCCCACATGAGCTGTTATATCCTGACGAGAATAATAAGTGGTAACTCTTGAGAACCATTTATCAACCAATACGATCCATATATTTTTCTTACATAACGATTAAGTAGCTAAATGATCTATATTCATGTTCACCTTATTTGAAGATTTATTTTGACACACAGAATATTATTATACGATTTACCGTTATTGAGTTCTGTCCAGTTTATGAATTACAGTCTCCCACATTCACAGACACCCTCATATATTCGATACTTATTGGGTTCAAGACAGCTCTGTTTTTAACAAACTAATATATATGCGTTAACTAAAAAGAATTATAATTTCAACAGTTGAGAACATGAGTCGATTGAAGCTAAACCACCACGGAAATCCTAGAAGCATTTAAGCTCGATTTCTTGGATTTGTTGAAGTTAGAGATTAACACCGTTGGATCAAGACCGCATCAGTAGTCTAGAAGTTAAGCGTAAGCACGCGAGATCGTGGATGCGCTCTGCTGAGGAGTTCCACAATAAGACGAAACAGCAGTCCATTGCTTCCAGGATATCTATGGTGGTCTAGCTGCAACTAACACATGATCTCAACTTGTGAAATTACCATAATATCAACAAGAAACGCCTTCTCATATACATAAGTTAACTGAATAGAATTACAATTTTACAACTTCAGGAAATAATATTGTAAATAAAGAAAAGCTCAGAAAAGTGGATAATCTTTATTTGTCAATCATTGAAAAGTAAACAAAACGATTGTTTCTAATATAATTAACTGTATTAAAACAAAAGATCTATGTGGAAATCAGTTAATTATCAAATAAATATGAATGGATTAATGTTTCACTATGACAGTAAAACGGGCTTTATTACTTTAGCTGCCATTATCGGCATTGTTAATTGTTGATCATATATAAAGCATATAAATGGATGAGTCACATGAAAGTCTACTTCTGCTATAATGGCTGACATAGGTACAAACATGGGTGAAGTTGCAGTGGTTGCTTCAATTCCACTTTCATTTAATTTCAATACATTTGTTTGAATAAATTTATTCACATATAGATTGTGATTAGGTGTGATTCCTGAAGAGGAAAAAGGGGGAAAAAGGCATGAAATAATCGAATTAATATACTTATAACATCCAGATACTACTAATATTTAATAGGTGAGAACACTGTCAACCAGTTATTGATAATAAAATTTATTTTTGAGATGGTAGGGAAGATTTGTAATTCAGGTTGATGATTGTGATGGGGTTTTGTTCTCTGAGATGGATGTTTTGATTGTGGAGCTTTCATTGTTATTCTCAACGACATCGTCAGTACAAACTTCAGGTAGATGATTGGTAGATAAGTAGATGAGATAGTGCGTTTGAATTTCGAAGTACACATTAACTCATGAATGTAAGTACATCTCGTCGATGAATAATAAATATTAATACATCGTTAGTTACATTCATGAGAGAATGATTAAATTTTCAAGACCATTTACTTTCTGAATCTACCATTCCAAACATCCTATTCACAATCTAAAACGTCAAAAATTAAGGAATGATCATAAATTGAATTAAAGCTCCACTTCTACTGAATTATTCTTTTCCAAAATCGCTGAATTTTTATTCTATGAAACAGAATCGACTAAATTTTGTTTGGAAGATTACTGTCAATACTTCTCTGATGGTTACCTATTTTCTCACATTATCCATAACTAAGTTAAATCTCACATATTCATCAACTGTTCTGGTAATTATTATTACACAGCTCACCTCAGTTTGTTCTATTTCTTCATAAACATTTCGACAACCGAACAATTTATAATTGATAGCCAAGCACTGAATTATAAACAGTTTGGGGTCCATCTAATTGACCTTGACAACAGTTACACAAGAATAAACTTAATTCTCCAACGCACTCTGTCCTGGGCAATCATTTACAGTTGTTCCCAGTTGCTACTCATTTTTTAGATGTCTGACTTCAATTCCCGGCTCAATGTTTTCTTTGATCTCTGCCTTATCGTTTAACCTTCAGGATTCCAATTCAGAGTCCATCTTGTGATGCTATTTGGTGATTTTCACAAAATGTATTCTATCCACCCTCAGAGTTGTTTCCTAATTTCCTCTTCATCTAGCAGCTGGTTTGCTCTCTGACACAGTAGGTTGCCGCTGACAGTGTTTGACTAACGGATCTGGAGTATCTTCAATAGACAATCACTTGTAAATACATGTAATTTTCGGAAGATTATTGTAGTAGTTTACCACGTCTCAGCTCTATACAAAGAAACTGTTTTTATGTTTGCCTTAAAAATTATGATTTCAGTCTTCGCTCTATATATGCGCAATATAATTGTGTTTGTATGTGCATGTATGCTGGTTAATGGATTACACCCTACAGGCATATTCCTCTCACTAGCATAAATGTTACATTCTTAAATTGTTCCACGACTTATTCGTTTTAGTATAAACATGTGCTCCTCAAATCCACTCATTCATTTGAGCTCAATAAACTGTAGTAACAGCTTCGTATTTCCTTATGAAATCCGCACATCTATTGGAGATATCTAATAAAGCTTATAAGGGCACGTGATACACAAAACATAGCAGTTCTCTTCAAGAAACTCCACTACTCACTTACTTCAAACGTTTGAATAAAACCACATAAAATATCTTGACATAGTAAACATACTAATTATCTGAGGTACGAATATCCACTTGATTTCACAATAGAATAATCACAATTGATAAAAATCAATGTATAATATTTTATGTGAATTTAACAACTCAGATATTCTCACCTGACAGATCAGCTTTCACTGGATCAAACAAATCGACAACACCGATAGACTTCAATGTCGGCACAAGGTCAAGTGTATTTTTCAATGTAAATTTCGGTAATCGTAATGACACTGTCGTCTCTTTCAAATTCTTTACGTATTCACTTAAAACTTTATTGCCATTCAAAAGTTCCATTGAACCATTTAACGACCACTTTTCAAGAGGTAACACGATAACAAATGAGAAACGTGTGTTCTGAAGATGTTTCAAGAAAGAAAGAACGAAATCAAATAAATAACAGTAAGCCGGATGTTATAACCTTTAATGAACCAAACACTTGCAAACGATGAGACCAGATGGATTTTCGAACGACTGATTACATTGAACAGGCAACGACACTAAGCGAATAATAAAAGAAAGAAGGCTACAGAGCAAACTGATTTACCATTGGTGAAATAATCCGGACTGGGTTCATATTAATTCAAATATCGCCCAGTATCACGGAATTCGTATTGTAGTGAAGGAGAACCGAAATATTACAGAGTTACTTGGTAAAATAGAAAAACCATACTATAATACTTAATTTGCAAAATGTTCAATAATTGTCTCGGACTTCATCGTCATTGAATTTCCATACTAATTGCTTTCTATTCCCGTTCTTACTTTCTTGATCTTCCCTCATCATCTGCTGCCAGACATTGCATTTCTCACTCGCATAATATACTACTTATACAAATACAAGCAGCACGCACCACAGTATGATTATTCATGTGATCATCAAAGTTGTCGGAATAAGAATTATGTAAGAAAGCCTTCCGAGAATTACAACGGTGCCTCCTGAGACCCTAGAACAACCGAAGAGTTCCATCCAATCAGAACGCAATGGCGCTGTCCAGAACATTAACGTGGCATGCTACTTCTCGTCAGTAGCACATCAAGCCTCTTGGTGGATTGGTTGAACTATAATGTTGATTTAACGAACGCCAATATCTATAAATTCCCGTGAGTTTCTGTACATTTTGATCCTTGCTCAACAACCACTTTCTCCAGTCTTCTCATTTGCGATTTCCGAGGGTTCTAGCGTTCCAGTGCACAAATTCTACACAGTATATAAGCAAACTAAACTCTAGATATAGCAAATTATAAAATCCATTTGCATAATTTATAGGGCGATATTAACTGTTTGGTGGAAACAGTTTATTCAAAATGAGTGTAATCTCAAATCGATAAGACTAATCCGAAAACTATACAAATTAACAAAAATTTATTGCATCAAATTGAATAGTCCATGAACTGTTAACTTTCAAGTGAATGATATAGGTCATTTCTTACACAAAAATAAATCTTCATAATCTATACACTTAAGACTGAACGACTGTCCAGTACTTCCAGCTTTTCCATGATCGTCTAGATTCCATCGACACATCAACTCACCCATCAATATATGGAGAATAAACAGAATGACAAACTTAACTTAAAACATAAAACGAGTTAGAAAGAAACACACTTTTAATCACTAACATTTAATGATTTACTGACGATCTCAAATCCTTCATCTTCGAATTTTCCATACATCATTACTGCATCTTGAGTCATCATATGAACTGTTATTTGATGGTTCGGCGAAATATCAAAATTCTCTTTTCTAGTGTAATGAGGCTCAAATGGACTCTCCCAAAAATCTAAAATTAACGATAACTGTGTTATTTTGATGAATATACAGTACAAAAATATTATCTTTTCATTTCACAGCATTTTATAAACTGTAAACATCGCGAAACAAATAGCACCGTAATTTGATATGGGGTATAATGGAACCTAAAAAATGCTTCGCAATAAGACATAAGAAAAAACATGCTCAAACAGCATTAGAAATAATCGAAACACTTCCTGACTGTAGTTACCTACATATGTATTTACTTAATTACGCCTGTTACTCTAAATGGGGGATTGGCCGCTGACCAGCATTCTCCAACCCACTCTATTCTGGACCATCCTTCCTTGTTCTACCCATCCTTCCAGATATAACACTGCCCAAATGTTATTCATTCTTTTCATGTCGGTCTCCATTTCTCGATGTGATGTGTTCTATGGTCGTACCCTTCTTATTTGGCCTTGAGTGTTACAAGTGAGGACTTGACTTGTGACACAGTTGGGTGCTTTCCTCAATGTGTATCCTATGCGCTTTCAGCGTTTCTTCCTCACTGCTTCCTACTCTGAGATCTGGTGTTTTCTCCCTCACAGTAGGTTGTTGCTGATGGTGTCTGGCCAACGGATCTGAAGTATTTTGCCTAGGCAACTGCTAATAAGCACCTCTATCTTCTGGATGATTGTTTTCGTAGTTCTCCAAGTTTCTACACCATAAAGCAGAACTGTTTTGATATTTCTATTGAGAATTCTGACTTTGTTTTGTTTACAGTTGTGCTTCAATTGTAGATATGCTGCTCTTAGTTTGCCGATCCTCGCCTTCAGATCTGAATCAGATCCACCGTAATCATCAATGATGGTGTTAATATAAATAAAGTTTTACGTCATCAAAAACGTCTCCGTCAAGTGTGATTTCATTGGTGCATGTTGTGGTATATCGGATAATATTGCTTTTTCCTTTGTGCATGTTGAGACATACTGGTGCTACACTGGTCGTCTTCTTCATTTGTTGTTGCGTGTGCGATAGAAGAGCTAGATCATCTGATTCAGATGTGAAGGCGAGGATCGGGGTATTATTGAGATTCTAATTATTCAATTCATGTCATTCTAAGCAACAAATATTCATCAAGACTGTCGTATTAAACTCTATACTTTAAACAGTCGGATCATAGCTTACCTCTAAAGTAGAAAACATTTACCAGTATCATTGCAGTATCATCTGGAATATCATCTATAAAGAATTTTTTCAATAAACCATTAGACTGTTGATCAACCCAATCATTGATTTCAAGTGTAGCATTAGTTGGATTAAGAAAATCCACCTAGAGTAATGAAAATTAAAAATTTGTAAGCGCTAATTAATTCTAATGAACAAATACTAGCAGAATTAACGACTCTATTACCATTATGATTACCGATAGTAAGCTTTGCAGATGATGATGTAGTAGTAGTAGTAGTAGTATATAATCCATCGTAGTGAATAACATCTGCAGCACGTGCTTAAAAGATATGTGAGTCATCATAATAGAAGTAAACTTTAAAAGAAAATCAATTCATTACATGAATAGATCTGTGAATAAATCAATCCGAGGTAAAGTCGTGCGACATTCCAACCATTAGGATTCCGATTCATGATTTACCAAACAAGTAATCCATAATGTGACATCTGGTAGTATGAAATTTTCTTTTGAAATAGAATAATAATTTACATGGATGATAATTGAATTAAGGTCTAATATGGATTGTAACATCCATTTTGACGGTTTCGTGTGTGAAAATCCCTCCATATATACACTTGTAATCCATTCATCTTGATTCCTTCAGTTGTACATTCTGTTAGTCTGTTTGATTCCATTTTAAATTACAATATATGTATTACATATTGTAGTTTATGTTTCCCTTACGTCTTCACTGAGTTCTCGTATTTCCTTCTCAACTGGATTTATGTTGTTTTAGTTGATATTTAGTTTGGGAGGCATATCTGTTTGTGTATTTTAGCACTCTTCCACAATCGGAAACAATCCGTGTTATAACGCAATCAAATATTATCATTCGAACGAATATGTACGTGATCTATCCAGAAACGATAGAATAACATTTATCGGTTGCACTTGATTTGATTACTGATTAGACCATTATTGGTTGAATAACTGGGTGGTAATATTTGTTTAGGAAATAATGTACATTTATATTTACAATAAAATCTAGAACCGTCATTTACCCAATTACCTTGTTTTATTTTCTTTCAACTGGCTAACAGCACCTATCTAAACTACCTACACAGTCATTCTTCAATCCAAACATTAGTATGTATATCCGCGTTTAGAATACTGTGAGAAAAGCTCATTATGTGAATTTCAAGTTAGTTAACGTCAGAGAGCACACTGCAGACATTTAGTCTCAGTTCGAAACAGTGTGCATAAGTGATCTCAAATTTATTCGCACATATTGCTTGAATATGTCATAATCATTATGATATTATTCAACTGCTCAGCTGAAGTTCAACAGCGTTATTTTCCTCCACGTGAATCCATAAACGATTTAGGGGGAAAATCTGACCTGGTAAAAGCATTGTTCCATTCATACGTTATGATCTATTACTGGAACTGTTCTAAATCCAACTTAAAGTAACTCAAAGTGAATTTATGGTTATCTACTATTTAGATAAGATAAAACACTCGATCAACTCAGCCTTTATTTCTAGTAATTTCTCTGATAAGATCCCCTTAATATTTTCAAATCAACTAAACCATCCATCTAAATAAAATCGACTTTTCCGAAGTATCACATCACGAATAATAAACTACTTTAAGAACATTCTATGAATGTAACGGTCCATTACTTATCCATTGATGTTTGCCAAAAAAACAACTGATTCTTCAGTACTTTAAGATTTACACAAAATATAATAACTTACCTGTTTCAATTCGCCTTCAAAGTCATTTTCAATACTTTCGTTAAAACTTCTTTCAACTTCATAATTATTTTGTACAAATATACCTGTTGATATTCTAACAACCTTTTCTTCTTTCTCATTTAAAAAGGTTTTCTCTGAAGTAAGCGAGTCATTAAGCTCTTTATATAATGATTTCGCTTTTTCTTCAGCATCCGAAGAATCCCATGAACAATATGTTGATCTCAGTCTCATTGTTTTTCCAATTTGATAACCTGTTCTACCTTCAGCACCACCAGAACCTAACAGGATACCGAGTGTGAACAGTATACCAAGTGGACATGTCAGGAAGTTGTCCTGGCCTAAATCATTTGGATAAATAAAAGATTGAAAATAAATAAATAAATAAACAGTAAACAATAGAAACACATACTAGATATAAAAGTCAAGGTTGAATTAAACATTATGCTATAGGTTGGGTAATATGACATTTAATCATTTTAACAGTTAGGTCTTCGTACGTTGAGTTTGCTCATCTTGACAGAACCTATACCATCCTTTGTATTTTCACCTATATCAACGAAAGTGACGGCTCAGGTAGAACAATATCGATACTATATACCTCTTCATTCTGATTTACTTGATGAACGTCATCCAATGCTTCGCGCCTACCAACGATTACAATGAAGACGCTTAAGATCAATTCTACGATAGGCTGCAGTCAATCGTCGAGAAAAGCCCAACAAAACACCTGACTATTCTGATGGGAGACCTAAATGCCAAGGTTGGAATTGAAAACACCGGATATGAAGAGATCATGGGACGACACGGACTCGGAGAAAGGAACGAAAATGGTGAGAGATTTGCAAATCTATGTGCCTTCAATAAACTGGTCATAGACGGCACTATATTCCCACATAAACGCATACACAAAACCACATGGACTTCACCGGATCACACTACGCAAAACCAAATCGACCATATCTGCATCAACAAAAAGTTCAGGAGGACGATGGAGGACGTGAGAACCAATAGAGGAGCTGATATAGCATCAGATCATCACTTGCTGGTCGCCAAGATTATATTGAAACTCAAGAAGCACTGAACAACAGGGCGGACAATGTCACAAAAGTTTAATACGTCTCTTCTTCGGGATAATGACAAACTCAATAAATTCAAGATAACCCTCAGCAATAAGTTCCAAGCCTTTCATGATCTACTCAATGGAGAAGAAACTACTATGGAGAGCAACTGGAAAGAGATAAAAGAAGCAATCACTTCAACATGTCATGAGGTTCTGGGCCAAAAGAAGCACCATCACAAGGATTGGATCACGGTCGATACAATGGATAAGATTCAAGAAAGGAGGAACAAGAAAGCAGCAATCAATACCAGTCGAACAAGAGCAGAAAAAGTCAAGGCACAGGCTGAATACACAGAAGTAAACAAGCAAGTGAAGAGGAGCATCAGAACTGACAAACGTAAATATGTGGAAGATCTGGCATTGACGGCGGAAAAGGCTGCCAGAGAAGGAAACATGAGACAACTGTATGACACAACAAGGAAACTCTCTGGAAATCACCGTAAACCAGAACGACCACTTTAAAGCAAGGAAGGTAAAGTAATCACCAACATTGAAGAACAACGAAACAGATGGGTAGAACACTTCAAAGAACTTTTGAATCGACCAGCCCCACTGAACCCACCCAACATCGAAGCAGCACTCACGGACCTCCCAATTGATGTTGGCGCACCGACAATTGAAGAGATCAGCATGGCTATCAGACAAATCAAGAGTGGCAAAGCAGCAAGACTAGAAAGCATTCCAGCAGAGGCACTGAAAGCAGACGTAGCGGCAACTGCAAGGATACTTCAAACTCTCTTCAGAAAGATCTGTGATGAGGAACAGGTACCAAAAGACTGGAAAGAAGGACTTCTAGTCAAAATACCAAAGAAAGGCGATCTCAGCAACTGTGACAACTACAGGGGAATCACTCTTCTTTCAATACCAGGAAAAGTCTTCAACAGGGTATTGTTAAACAGGATGAAGGACTCCGTAGACGCACAACTTCGAGACCAACAGGCAGGATTCCGTAAGGATAGATCGTGCACAGACCAAATCGCAACTCTACGGATCATTGTGGAACAATCAATTGAATGGAATTCATCACTCTATATCAACTTCATCGACTACGAAAAAGCATTTGATAGCGTGGACAGAACAACCCTATGGAAGCTTCTTCGACACTACGGCGTGACTGAGAAAATAGTCAATATCATATGGAATTCCTACGATGGACTAAACTGCAAAATCGTGCATGGAGGACAGTTGACAAAGTCGTTCGAAGTAAAGACCGGTGTCAGGCAAGGTTGCTTACTCTCACCCTTTCTCTTTCTCGTGATGATCGACTGGATCATGAAGACATCAACATTTGAAGGGAAGCACGGGATACAGTGGATAGATAGGATGCAAATGGATGATCTAGACTTCGCAGATGATCTGGCTCTTCTATCGCATACGCAACAACAAATGCAGGAGAAGACAACCAGTGTAGCTGCAGCCTCAGCAGCAATAGGTCTCAATATACACAAAGGGAAAAGCAAGATTCTTCGATACAACACAACATGTACCAATCCAATCACAATTGACGGAGAAGCTTTGGAAGATGTAAAAACCTTTACATATTTGAGCAGTATCATCGATGGACACGGTGGATCTGATGCAGATGTGAAGGCACGCATTGGCAAAGCAAGAGCAGTATATTTACAACTGAAGAATATCTGGAACTCAAAACAATTGGCAACCAACACCAAACTTAGAATTTTCAATACAAATGTCAAGACAGTTCTACTGTATGGCGCGGAAACCTGGAAAACTACGAAATCCATCGTCCAAAAGATACAGGTGTTTATTAACAGTTGTCTACGCAAAATACTTCAGATCCCCTGGTCGGACACTATAAGCAACAACCTACTGTGGGAGAGAACAAATCAGATCCCAGTGGAGGAAGAAATCAGGAAGAAGCGCTGGAAGTGGATAGGACACACATTGAGGAAAACACCCAACTGCGTCACAAGACAAGCCCTCATATGGAATCCTCAAGGTCGAAGGAGGAGAGGAAGACCAAAGAATACATTACGCCGGGAAATGGAGATAGATATGAGAAAAATGAACAAGAATTGGATGGAACTAGAAAAGAAGGCCCAGGACAGAGTGGGTTGGAGAATGCTGGTCGGCGGCCTATGCTCCATTGGGTGTAACAGGCTTAAGTAAGTAAGTAAGTAATATGAAGTTGAACCACAGAATATCGGTAGATGAAGTCTGGAACGTGATGGCAAATATTATTTTAGATAAATATAGCCCTATTTCATCCATCCATTATTTATGCAGTTATCATTAGTTAACTTTAAATAATTGGAACTATAATGAATAGTGTACCCAGTGAATATATAGAAGAAATTGTCAAAATACAATCGAATATTACCAATGTTATAATCAATATTACTTTTATACTGAGTTAATCCATGATCACTTCCCATCAGATAGATTAACCAAGAATATTATTATTATTATTGTTTGGTTATTAGTTTACGAGTCTCGCGCGCAAGACTGAAGGCCCCGGGTTCGACTCCCGAGAGCGGTATCGTGGGTGCGCACCGCTGAGGAGTCACACAATAGGAGGAAACGGCCGTCCAGTGTTTCCGGCTTTTCCATGGTGGTCTAACATCAATCGGTTCATGATCCCAATCAAAAAAATTGTTTGATTAATCTCTTATCAATGACATTATTATTTAATTTATAAATTGTGCAACTAACGAAAGGTAAATACAACATCAATTGTAAATAATTATTAAAACTTACCAAGGTCTGCAGTAACTGTCGAAAGATATGCACGAGTAAATGCCTTATGACTTGGAATGTCAGAATATAGATCATCATCTTCTGGAGGAAATAGTATACCCATATCTTAAACTACTACAGAGCTAAATAGCATTAATGATTGATATCTAAATATATATATATAATTAGCTAATCACCATTTTCTTAAAGCACGTCTTGGTTTAATCCTACAAATATGTGTCCTACTAGTCATCAGTAGTATGACTCAGATTGGTTAAATCAGATTAACTTGTTCAACACTATGCATATAACAATAGAAACCAAACTACTGTTCGATCAATTAAGTCTAATACTGTTATCATGACTTTATGGATCAATATTTGCATGAATAGACTATAAATATGCTTTGAACATATGATATATTAATCAATATTTATTAAATTAGAAATGAAATAATAATGTAAAATGAAGAATATTTGAGCGAATAATTGTTTCTGCAATAACTTCATCATCATCATTATCATCCGACTACACAGTTATAAGTTGATAATTATTTATGATCTTTTACAAAGGCCAAAATTTGACAATGTTACGTGTTGAAAATGATGAACGTTTGCCACGGTTACGTCATGTATACTTCAGAATTGTGTTATTTGCAAATTAGAACGGCCATTCAATGAAGGTCAGAATGATTTGGAATAAAGTATCTGGTCACAATCAATCGTAGCAAAACTGAAAATGCAACAAAAAAATTTTTTTGTGAATAAAATGCATAGTGAGAGAATTTCGTCTTGTTAACTGAGATAATAGTGATAATAATATTGTTGTTTTGTGAATAAAATATGTAATAAAAGGGGTGTTATCAAGGTAATTACGATAAGCCGAAAAGAAATCATGTGAATTGGGAATGATGGATGTGAAGATTAAGATAGATGTAATCAAAAAAGGAAGGGGGTAAGAGGTTTATAATATTCAGTTTAGGTATGTGGTGATCCAGTCGTAGGCCGAGGTAAACAAACGGGGTGGATATACCTTTTCTGGATATATATGTTTAGTTTTCTGGAATTGATCCAGATTGCTTCAGCTATGTAGAGTAACCGTAATCTAGCTCCTTGAGGTAGTTATTTTTGAACCCAATATAAAACAAAGAAAGCTTCCTGTATTCTGATATGATACTCACTATCTAACAAGTGAGAGAGGATAGTGCTGTTGATCGATTAAGTGACTCCTTTTCCCGACCATGCTGGTACACGTTCACGAACACGCAAGGATAAAGCCCTCTGAGCATAGCCTACGTAATTGGCACCAAAGAAGCAGTTGAATTGGTATACACACATGGAGGAGCCCATCATCGGTAACCTATCCTAGATTTGTTGTGTGAGTACTGGTTTAGTTGAGGAAATTATATGTAGCTTGGTGTCGTGAAACGCTGACGTGTTAAAATATCACCCGCTATATCCCCTTTAACATCCAGTCTCAGATAAAGGGTTTTTTTACTGACTGAGTCACAATTTCTTTTTTTAACACATTCTACTAGGAATCTTTTGACGAAATTATCTGGATAGCCATTATTTCGTAACGTGTTCTTTAGCATATCTATTTCAGAACACAATAGTTTGATTCAGTGGTTGAGACATTTAATCAAATTTATTTTATATTCAAGAGGTGTGAAGCTTTTGAAATGGGCATACTCACCCATCCATGTATTCTACCTAAATATATTTCATCTTATGGAACCGTCTATCCTTTGAGAAAGTAGGACATCAAGGAAAGCTATACTATTGTCTTTCTCCTCCCCTCCTCGCTGGTGAATTTAATAGCTGGGAGGAAGTTATTGAAAAAGTTCCAACATCTCTTATTTGTCTATATTTTCGTCACATACGATTAGTATGTCATCTATGTATTGACAGCAATAATCTAGCTTACTTAAGATGTCATTTAACGGTCCACTTGGTAGTTTGGCCAGAAAAATATTAGCAAGGATCGGGCCTAGAAATGATCCCATTGTTACTCCATCTACCTGTCTGTAAAATTTATTGTTAAACTTAAAGTAAATATTCATAGTACATTTCAACAGAGGTTCTCTTATTTTAATTACTGGGATCGGTATCTCTATTATCTTTTCTAGCAATCGCTCACATATGTAATCCATAGTTTCACTCAGACGGATGTTAGTGAACAAAGATGCTATGCTTAGTGATAACATAGTTTTATCATTTATATTCATATTTTTTATTGTATCCAAAAATTCAAATACGTCTTTAACACTGTGCTTAACCAGTTCTTGGTGTAGTGGTTCTAATAATTTCACTAACTATTTTGCTGTTGAATGGTATGGTGAGTTTGACATATCCGGAATTGGACGTAAAGGAACTGCGGTTAGTTAACGTTCGGTCTTTACATAACCCAAGTTTTTGGAATTTAGTCTGATCACTCAGTACGGTATTCATCTTATCTATGTAATCTGTCTTGTTTAGAATTACTGTGCCTGATCCTTTATCAGGTTTAGTGATGAGAATGTGTTCATTCACTTTTAGTTTCCGGATAGCCTCGAGATATATATCAGTCAATACACTAATTGTGTAATACTTATTGCTTTTAAATTGGTTACAGTAATCAACCAGTGTGGTTTTGAATCTTCCAAATTCGAATTTTGTCATGGACATTGTGTCTGGGTAAATAGATTCTCAAACTGAAAATCAGTCTTCAGATAATCCACATGTCTACGACTATTACAAAACTTAGGACCTAATGACAATGCTTCTAGTTGAGTCCTATCGAAATTAACAGAAGAAACGTTAATAACTTACCGGTTACAGTCGTCTGGAAAATCCGGTTTAATATTTGGTTGTCTGGTCCTTTGATTAGATCTATTCTTTTTTTATTTTCCCTCGTTCTTTGCACTTCTAAGATATAAGTTATATATGAATCCTTCAAGTTTTTGGGAAGATCTTCAACGTAATATAAACTCTGTGTAATATTCCTTTCTAGCTCAACAATATATACGTTTGAAGAGATTCGATTTAACTAAGCGCATATTTTTTCATTGACTTAATATGATAGGTTTAATTTTATATCGACGTAGGGATTTGCAATAGTCTTTCGGATATCGGTGTGCAACAGGGCAATTACGGATAAAATCCAGATTGGTTTTCACTTTTTGATTACAACTATCTTAATCTTCACATCTATTATTCCCAATTCACATGAATCCTGTTTTGTTAATTGTAATTACCTTGATAACAACCCTGTTATTACAGATTATATTCACACAACAACAACTATTCTGAAATCGCATCAAATTATCGAAGAAAATGTACAACAAAATTATTATTATTGTTATTATCACAATTAACAAAATGAAATTCTCTTACTATGCATTTTATTCATACAATTTTGTATATCCTGGAGTTCTAAAGAGAAGCAGTGACCAGTGGAGTTCAACTGGGTCAGTTGTGAGATGGTAACTTAGTGATGACAATGGTGGATGTGTCGCCCAATTTCGTGGATTAGTTGAACGTGAACATTAACACCGTTGGATCCCGGTAGGCTCAATGGCCTAGTGGTTAAGTGCTCGCGCGCGAGACAAATAGGCACTGGATTAGAATCCCACGGGGCGTGGGCGTGGATGCGCACTGCTGAGGAGTCTCACAATAGTACGAGACTGCCGTCCAGTGCTTCCAGGTTTTCCATGGTCTTCTAGCTTCAATTGATTCATGATCTCAACTATTGACATTTTCATTTTTGCTACTACTGATTGTGACCGGACACTTTACTCCAAATCATTTTGACCTTTATTAAATGACCGTTCTAATTTGCAGATAACACAATTCTGAAGTATACATGTCGTAACAGTTGCAAACGTTCATCATTTTCAACACGTAACATTGTCAAATTCATCAGTACATGCCTTATCTTAGGCTTTATAAAAAATAACAATAATTACGGACTTACAACTGTGTAGTCTGATGATGAAGTTATTGCTGAAACTACTGTTCGCACAAATATTGTTTGTGTTCGAATATTCTATGGCGATTCTTAAACTGCTAAATAATAATTCACAATATTTTCTGGTCTAAACATATGGAAAGTTAAAATGATGAATGAAAAATGAATTATAAATTCTAAAAATATAGACCGAATTATAAATTACTGTTCAAGTATATTCTTAAATAAATAGACTAGCATTGCTCTTCAGGTGATTTCCATCTTAGTTTACGACTAAACAACTAATCAACACTTCCTAGTTATTGATAAATTCTCAGTTGATGTCCCTCTGTACCACTAACCAACTTTCATGTGTAATTTGTTATCATTTGGAGTATCATGTTGCACAAACGAGTGGCTATGTAGGCTCAGTAGTTGCTAAGTGGAACGATCCTCCGTATCCACCAGCCTGGCTAAAGTGCCGGATATTTGCTTCCCGTCTTCCCAATTTCGTAAACAACACTCATGTGCCGAGAAGGCAGTGAGTAGGACGTCCCTGGTAGTGGATGTATACGCGTGGCCACATGAGAGCATTTCGAGCGGGAGAGCAGACTCTCTCCACTCCCCACTGCACCAGGGCATTTACAGTATATTCTCATCCCAGGAAATAAAAAACTATTTATCCAACCATCTCGCAGAGGGGTTTAATAATAGGCAACTTAACGTTGTACAATCTATTACATTTACAACAATTAATTATGATTTATTCTTCATTAATCAGTAATGAGTTATTTATTATGAATTAGTTTGTCCAAATAACTTTAGAGAACATCAGAACAAAAATCAAATGAACAATGATAATAGGAACGTTTATGATATATTAATTATATGCTTTTCCTCACCTTAAAAGTTCTACTCATCATTCTAAATACTTCTGGCTTAAAATTAACACAGTCTAGCTCATCCTCGTTGGACATCATCACTACTTGTATTTAACGATCTGATGACACTTCAAAAGTTTCATTTTCTGTGAGCATTTCCATAAAACGCATCTCACAAACATCTAATTCCATTGAACACTAAAATCAAGAGAAATACAGTACTGCATCAATTTCGGTAACGTAAAATATAACTAAGATAACATATATCGATGCTATTTAAAAATAAGAAAATTTTTATAGTTTACTTCATGGACTT